ATCCTACCGGGTACATGACAGCCCCACACCAAATACTGGGCTCCAAATGCCAACAGTGAGGAGGCTGAGACACCCTTAGCTGGGATGAATGAAGGGGCCCAAATACAGTGGAGAGACCATGTGGGAGGCCACCCCAGGGACCCAGCCGGAGTTGTGTGTATAGCATCAGCACACTGCTGGCGCCTCACACATGTGCTTCAGCTAATGGAGCAGGCCTGATCTGTGCTAACGGGAGCTCCCCAGAGTCTGAGGCCAGGGGATTAGGGGTCTGCCAGACTCTCCGGGTGCAGACAGCTTCTGATCAACATGCCATGCTGACACACACTGAAGATTTGGGGTGTAAGTACTTTTAAGCCTCTGGCATTTGCTCTGCTGTTTTCAGCAGATTCCAAACACAGCTGAGTCCATTTTCTCTCTGACAGAGGAGGAGACCTGCAGGATCTCTTACACCCCCCACTGCCCTTTCTCCTTGCTGGTAGACAGAGATCCACCCTGCATGAGGGCTCTGAGCTGCTGCTGTGTTGGGCTGCGGTAGGCATCTGGTACAGGGTGGCTAGTCCCCACCTCTAGGGAATATGGAACAGGAGCCTACATCATCCCCAGAGACCTGCTCATAGCACTCCAATTACTCCAGTAGCTTCCGGGCTAGTTTCTGTAACAGTTCTTCCCCCTCCCAGTCCACCCCAGCACTGCCACCAGGCTGATCTAGCACAATACCACTTCCACACTACTCTCTTGCTCAAGAGCTTTCAGTAGCTTCCTCTTGCTGCCCAGGACACATCCACTGCTCTACCTGGTTTTCAAAAACTTTCTCAATCTACCCTGTAACTTCCCAACTTCCCCTCAGCTCAGCTCAGCTCAGCTCAGTGAGTCATCTCACCTTGTCATCTCATCTCTGTCCCTTCATCTTGGTCTCTATCTCTGTCTGTCTCGCCATATGTCTCCCTACTCCATTCTGCTTCTCAGCTTTTGTCTGGGACTTACAGGGACTGTCCCTGGCTCTGACAAGCCCAGTGTCAGTTTCCTATCCCACCATATACTGCCTATGTGACCTTTCTGAACCTCAGTTTTCTTGCTTACAAAATGGGTTTGATATAGGTACCTACCAAAGAGATATCTACGAAGATTAATTGAGATGAAATGTAATGTGCTAGTACTTAGTGCAGTGCTTGGTACTTGATAAGAATGCTGAGTGCTGGCTCACCATGGGTAGAAGTCTTCCCTCTTAATGCCACCCACCTCCATCCATGCCAAACAACCCATAAAGCCCAGCATGTGCAAGTCAGAGTCAACCTCCAGAGACTGCTGGCTGTGCCTACAACCATATTTTTGTTCAACTGTGCCTTTGTTGTTTTAAGCACATCAAATTTCTACCAAAGGATCACTTATACTTATTTTTATTTTATCTTTGGGACTAGCAACCATTTAACAAGACAGCAGTCTCTGGAGGAGATACCACCTGCCCACAAACAGAAGACCAAAGCAAGGCCCCTGTTGATACACCTGTCTGTGTGCACCCACTAGTGAGAGGTTGCCACCAGAGAGCAGCTAAGATGACCAACTAGTAGAAAAAGAGTGCATGCAAGTACCAATTACTGCCCATGGCATCAAGACAGACCACAAGCATCGGGACAAGCCACAGGATTCTGACCCACATATCTGCAAAAGAATGCAGAGGAGGTCACTTGTCCACTTTAATACCAAGAACTATCCTGGTCCCCTTTGGATGGCACAGATATGACCCTTGAGCAGGGTCAACCTGAGCCAGGAACTGGGCTGTCCTTAATTCCAGGCGGCTGAGGCTTCCCCAAGCCTGAAGCTGACACCTCATAGCTGTCCCCTCTCTTCCACTGTTGTGAAGGCCAGGAGTGTGGCCTTGCTGATTGACACCCAGGGAGGGAGGCACTGTGACAGCCACGCAGAGCCCAATCCCTAGTGCTCTGGGGTGGGAAGGAGCTGCTTCCAGGGCAGAGCAGCAGGCTCACACCTCAAGCACTGTGCTACCCAGCCACCAGATGGACCCTGCAGGCATCACTGCATGCCAGAATAGGGAGCCAATGCCAGCTGCCTTCCAGTGTCCCTCCTCCCCTGCTCCCAGGAGGCACATGAGGGCTTTCAGAATAGAAAAGAAAGGAGGTCCAGGAAACAGGACAGGCAACTTTAAGCTGCTGAAGGGAGCAAAGAGGGGAAATGTGGCTTTGTTCTCTCTACTCTGGGAGCAGAAAGAGGTTCCAAGAGGCCAAGCTCAGCAGGAATGGGGCAGAGGACCCTCGGTGCCATAGCTCACACCTGTAATCCCAACTACTCAAGAGGCAGCTATTGGGGGAATCATGGTTCAAGGTTAGTCCTAGCAAAAAGTCAGCAAAACCACATCTCAGCAAACAAGCCAGGTATGACAGGGGCAAACCTGTAATCTCAGGTACAAGGGAGGCATATGTAGGAGGATCTCAGTCTGAGGCTGGCCTAGACAAAAAGTATGAGACTCTATCTGAAAAATAATTAAAGCAAAAAGAGCTAAGAGTGTGACTCAAGAAGTAGAGCACCTGCCTAGCAAGCAAGATGGGGCAGAAGGGAGCTTGGGCTTGGAGACACAGAGCCAGGAAGGGTTTGGGGGTAGACCCATCACTGATGGCAGCAGAACATTTACAGATGTGAGTACTCTTTCAGGTTAGAGAGGGCTGTAGGTTCAGGTACAGTCACCAGGTTCTTCAGGGCCCAGGGTCAGAGAGAAGTGCCATTGCTGGGGACTGCAGCCTGCTCTCCCTGCCCATAGTGTAAATGCCTTAGGATGGATGCACCCTGCATGATGCTGCATTGCAAGGCGTCTCATGGCTCCCTGAGCCCTGCACAAGGGTATCTGGTGAATGTGCTGCGTCCACTCTTAATTTGCCCTCCCTTCACCTTGCTGTGCTACCATCTGCCTCCTTCACTTCCTCTGCAGGGCTTGTTCTCTTGGCTGCTGACACACTTTGCCTGGACCACTCCTGCCCTGAGCCCCTCCTTATAGCCTCTTTTCTCTCAGATCTCAGGTGAAAAAAATCCTTCTAGACACCCCAAGTCCAGGTAGGTTATTGCTTCCACTGCTCCCCTACAGTATCATGTATCTTCACTGCCATTGTTTCAGTGGGGAGGAGGGGGTCTGCAGGCAAGAACCTCATCCAGCTTCTTCCTTGTTCCGTCTCCAGTCCCTATCCCTATCCCTGTATCTGGCCTATAGTGATGAGTCAGAGAAAAAAAAAAAAGATAAGAAAACATGAATGTCAGCCTAAGATATCCAGAAGAGCAAAAATATGAGAAAACTTAAGTATCGGCCTAAGATATCCAGTATTTGATGAATAGGAGCTCAAAATAAGAAAAAATCATCAAAGAAACAGTGTAGCCAGGCACCAGTGGCTCATGCCTGTAATGCTAACACTCTGGAAGCAGAGATCAGGAAGATTGCAATTCGAAGCCAGCTTGGGCAAATAGTTCATGAGACCCTATCTCAAAAACACCCACCACAAAAAAGGCCGGGGGACTGGTGAAGTGGTTCAAGGTGTAGGTCCTGAGTTTAAGTCCCAGTAACACAAAAAAAAAAAGAAACAGTGTAAAAATTTTTGCTAGAACTGAAAGATAGGAGCCTTTGGATATAAAGGGGTCACCAAGAATCAAAAAAAAAAATTTTTTTTAAAGAGATGGCCTTGGGGAATTTCAGAAATAAATTTTTAAAGAGAAGATCATAAATCCCCAAAGAAACCAGACAAAGAATCCGGAATGAAACAGCATCAGATTTTTCAATAGATATGTTAGAAATAAGAAAATATTAGGGCAATAAGTCTTTAATATTCTGAAGAGAAATGACTGTCAACCCAGAATTGTCTCCTGACCCAAACTATCAATTAAGGCTGAGTGCAGAATTACAATTTTTTAGACATAAAAAGACTCAAAACATCCTTCCAATTTGCCCTTTTCAAGGAGCTAACAGAAGAGTTGTGCCACTATGAAAAAGAAAGACCTGGAACTGATGGGAGGTAGGCTCCAGAAAGTAAAATGCCAAGAAAAAAATAGTGTAACTGAAAGGCAGGAGCCTTCAAATTAAAAGGAGAACTGAAAACATTAAAATGTTGCTAGAGAAGGCAGTAAGAGTTAGCAACAGAACAAAGGAAACTACCAATGGGGGAAAAAGTGAGGCAGTTGTTAATTCCAGACAAGACAGAAAGTTGAAAAAGAAAAGACATATAATCATGCATGCTATAACCAACTTGACGATGCAATAAGTGTTATTTATATAATTGCAATAGCATTATAGACCCCAAACCATGATAACTATTTTGGGAGCAGGATGGAGTAGAAGTAAGAAGTGTATTTATAGGGATGGATAATAAGAGAACAAAATCCTTATCTGCTGTAATAGACGATGCAAAAGAAATAATTAAGAAATAGCAGTATACCCGGGTGCCAGTGGCTCATGCCTATAATCCTAGCTACTTAGGAGGCTGAGATTCAGAGAATCGCAGTTCAAGGCCAGCCCAGGCAAATGGTTCTGGAGACCCCACCTCCAAAACAACCAAAGAAAAATGGACTGGAGCTGTAGCTCAAACAGTAGAATACCTTTTTTTGCAAGCACAAAGCCCTGAGTTCAAACCCCAGTCCCACTCCACCCCCCCAAAAAAAGACAGAAAAAGAAATAGCAGTACAGATAGGTATATTAATTAGTTTGAAATACAGATTTCTATCTATATTTCAACAGATAAAAACAGCAAAAAGTAATTGCTTCTGGGGAACAGGAATAGGAATTGGAGGGAGATAGGCAACATACTGTTTTTCATTACATGTGTTTTTACACTTTTGAACTATCCATATATATTACTTTGAAAAATGTGAAATTAATTTTTTTGAAATAAAGTTTGTGAGCAAAAAAGAAAAAAGAAAAACTTTGGCATATTAACCACCAGACTCTAATCATTAAAGTGGTCCTTCCTTCCTGTTCCCCTAACCATGCCCACTTCCAAAAGACTTACCTGTTCATTGGTGACCCCTGGGCGCAGGGTCCCATGCTTGTAGTCCTCCAGGAGCTGCACAGCCTCTCTGAGACGTCTCTGCAGAAGAAAAAAAGAGAGACATTGTAGGGCATAGGTCCAGGGCTCCTAAAAGCCATTTCCATGTGGTACTGCACCAGCATCAATCAAAGTGACACACACAAAACAGTAGGAAGGCTACCAATCTAAATGCCCTTCCACAGACAAATGGCTGAACACTGATGGTATAAAAATACTATGTATGGATTCTTACTGGGTGGCTCAAACAGTGAAGCAGAGGGCTGGGATGTAGCTCAGGGACAGAGGGACAGAGCACTTGCCTAGCATATGCAAGGCCCTGGGTTCCATCCTTAGCACACCCCCATCCAAAAAAAAAAAAAAGTTTCCTGGTCATAGCTCCAAGATATTTTGTTGAGTGAGAAAGCAATGGTCATTTATGTGTATAAACGTAGCAAGAAGACATAGAGAGATCCACTGAATTCACAACAGGGGTTACCACAGGGTAGGAGAAAAAGACCCAGACTTGGTGCAGGTTGGAATTTTAGCTTTATTTGTAATATTGGAAGTTTTTATAAGGAGAATATACTTATGTAATACTTTCATAATTTCTTTTTGACATTTTAAAAACACTGACAGAGATATACCTACCTACCATAACTGACACAGAAAGAAAAAGAGGAAATAAAGAAGATTTAATTAAATGATTTTTTAAATCTTAAATGCTAAAGAGACAGTAATAGTGACAGAAGAGAGCTTTTGTCCCCCAAAAGACTCGTATAAGAATGTTCAAAGGGCTGAGGGTGTGGCTGAAGTGGTAGAGCACCTGTCTAGCCAGTGTGAGGTCCTAAGTTCAAACCCCAGTACCACCAAAAAAATAAAGAAAGAATGTTTATAATAGCACTCATCACACAGCCTCAAAGTGCTAATAACTAATAAATGAATGGATCAATTGTAGTAAATGCACAATTAAATATTATACATCAATTTAAAAAATAAACTATGAATACATGTTACAATGTGGATGAATCTCACCGATATAATGGGGCAGAATACATCTTTCAAAGATGGCCACCACAATATCTCTCCATCTTCTGTGGTCTTCTAGAACCTTCCCAAATCCCCATCTAAAGGTAAAGTCTATGTCTCTTTCCCTGATTCTGGGCAGAGCTTTGTGACTGCCTTAACAAAAAAGAGAATGGCAGAAGTAAAGTGATATCACCTCTGAGACAAGATTATAAAAATGGGGCTGGCAGAATGACTCAAGTGGTAAAACGCCTGCCTAGCAAGTGTGAGGCCCTGAGTTCAAACCCTAGTACTGCCAAAAAAAAAAAAAATCCATGTGCTTAGGAACTAGGTAGGCCCTGGCACAGAGCTTCAATTGAGCCACCAGCCACTAGTCAGCATGTAGCACCCACTCACACCCACCAAGCCACCTTGGTTCCTTTTTGCCCTGGAATAAGACTGACTGCGAAAGGGAGTGTAGAGACCTCAACACGACTCCCCTGATATAAGGAGGTGGTAGACACAGTGTGCTGAGCTGGCTGACAGAACTGGGGATGAGCAGCCACAGGCTGTACTGCTGCAGCAGGAGAAACTGCCATCCCAAACCCACAGCCAGGGCCTTAGCCCATCAAACTGCATGAGCAGCACCTGTGCCCAACCTGGCCTTCAGCAGAACTGCAGGCAGTTAGGGGGCCAGGAAAGCTTTTCTTACTTGGAATGGCCTAAAGGCTGAAAAGTACTGTCTGTCCTTTTCAAATGTGTGGATGTCAATCCCCAGATACCAAAGACCCCTTCCTAGAACCTGTTCATTTCCAAAGTAGAGACAGTTTTGTGGGTTTTTCTTCCCCACAGTTGTATAAACAATCCACACTATTTAAAGAAACTGTCAGGGAGACAGGAATCGTTATGCACACCTGTAATCCCAGCTAGATGGGAGGTAGAGGTAGAAAGATTGTAGTCCAAGGCTGGTCCCAAGCAAAAGTGAAACCCTATCTGAAAAATAAACTAAACCAAAAAGGGCTGGGTATGAGGTTTAAGTGTCAGAATGCCTGCCTAGCAAGAGTGAAACCCAGAGTTCAAACTCAAGTACCTTCCAAGGCAAAAAAAAAAAAAAAAAATAGGAAGAAAATATAAGAAAAAACAGGAAAGCACAAAATGTCATTTTAAATCACCTGTACATATTACCACTGACATAACCATGGCAAAGGTAAGGTTGACTTTTGGGCTGGTGAAGTGGCTCAAGTTGTAGAGGGCCTGCCTAGCAAGTGTGAGGTTCTGAGTTCAAGCCCCAGGGCCTCAAAAAAAAAAAAAAAAAGAAAGAAAGAAAAATTCTTAGGGCTGGAGATGTGGCTCAAGTAGTAGAGCACCTACTTTGTAAGTGCAAAACCCTGAGTTCAAACCACAGTCCCACCAAAAAAACAATTTTTTGTGTGTGAGGTTGACTTTCCTTTGAAACTTAATAATTTGTATTTCAACAAAATCAGTGTTGGTTGTTTTAACTTGCTTAAAGTCACACAAACAGTAAGCAGGCAATTTAGCATCTGAACCCAGAATTTAGTCAGTCCCTTGCTCTGCACATCCTCCCCTACCCCAACATACCTAAGAAATCTAGAGATGCATCAGGCTCCCAAGCCCAAGCCCAAGCCCAAGCCCAAGCCAGCTTCCTTCTGCTGCCTCAGCCTCTGTAGACCTGGACAATGCGTGCTCTACTTTCCAAAGTAGAAACTGAATGGTGAATGGCCCTGCGTTCTCATTATTTCTCCCACTCCAGGGATTCTCCTGAGTTCCTATAACAACCTGGCCAGATTCCATCTCCTTCGACACAGTCATCAAAAGGAACTCTCTTGCCAAAAAAGTAAGTTCCAAAGAGCTCTGGGCCCTTAGTTCTCTCTCACTAAATCCAAAGTTCCTAAAGACAAGTATAAGGAATCAGGACTGAAGGAAGCTGGAACGGCCTCTCCACCCTAAGTGCTCTGGGCTGGCCTCAGTCTTACTGACCCTCTGCCAAGGCCAGGTGGTTCCGGTTCCAGGCCTTCTAGGACAGGCAAGGCCCAAGCCACCTGTATGGAGAGGCACCTGAGAGCTGACTGTTCTCAAGGCTAGAAAGGGGGCTGTTTTACAGAGACATAGCAGCTAGAAGAAAAGGTTTCCCTGCTTTCTACCTTCCTTCCACTGCTGTATTGTGAGGCTTGGCAGAAGGGCCCAGGCCCTTGAGGAGGGGAAATGCAGGGAGGTCAGTGCAGGGTGAACTTTGCAGGAAGTCTTTTCAAGCAGGAAAAACAAGCAGTCAAATGCAAAAGCTTTGAGGGACCCAGCTGGCCCAGTGACAGGAGGCAAAATTTTGGGCCCTGCCTGAAGCCCTGGGCTGGGAGTAAGGGAGCCCACTGCTTCCCAAATTTGTCTCCATCATCAGCCTTTCTGCCACTAGTCAGTCTGCCACAAAGTGTCACCATGAGAGTCACTCCTTATATTTGACAGGGGCCTGTTCTCTAGAAAGTCCTCTGCAAATGAGTGTACTCCAGCATCAGAGAATTTGAACAGAAGAGAATCTGGCCATTAGGGACCTGCCCCAAGGCCCAGGCACAGAAAGGTAGGAAGCAAAGGCACAGGCTTGGAGATTAGAGTGGTAGAGGTGAGCAGGCAGGAAAGGATGAAAAAGAAAGTTGGGGAAAGAGTCATCAGAAGCAAAACTAATCTTTTCCTGGGCACCACAGCCCAGCTCCAAGTATGCAGAGTAAGTCCTATATAGCTAAGGCAGAATGCCAAAAGGATCCAAATATTAATTTACTATAATACTATTTAATACAAGGTAGTAGTGCTAGCACCTGGCCAAGAGGTAAATAATACCAGAGATATTTCACACACACACACACCCCTAGAGGAATTTACTCACCCTGTGGGTGGTACTTACACATCCCTGCCTCCTGACCCTGCCTCCTGTTCTCTTCCTCAGAATGCCATTCCTCCCCAACCAGCCCATCCATCCTACAAGGCTCAATGACACCTTCTCCAGGAATCTTCCAGAAGTGTTCCCTCCGCTCTCCAAATAGTCAGAGGATTTGGTTTGCACCTCCTGAGGTCCCTGACCACTTACCACCCATGTGCCTATCTTATCTGTCAAAGATGATGAAGTACATGGAGCAGCTAGTTTTAGGAATCTTTGTAGGACCACAGCACCTGACCCTGTCCCTTAACCCATCACCAACTTACAGTCATGCATAACAGACATTTAACAGAAATGAATGATTGGAGCTGCTGGGGGAGAAGTGAACAGCATGGTTAGAGTTAAGAGTTCAGATTCCAGTGAAGCAGGCCAAAGTCCCTCAATGGTAAGGCTGGTCTCACAGAATCCTGGGATTCCCAGAGACCATGCCCTGCCCACATAAGACATGTGCATATCATAGAACCGCCTTGACACCCCCTTCTGAAAACACAGAGCCAAGAGGTGGTACTTCCACGCCCCAGGTCACCTACAAACCCCAAGAATCCTCAACCCCATCTCTGAGTCATTTCTACAAGACATCAACCTGGAAGCACCTCTCATACTCACAATAGTAACTATATCCCAAAGAAACCACACCAATGCCTGAAGTCTCCAAAAGCTGATAGCTATTCAGGCAGGGGACCCATGTAAGAAAAGGAAAGGCCTTTACTGTCATTCAAAGCTGAGCCCAGGCTGATGCAAAACAAAACAAAACAAAATGAAGGGGAGTTCCTCTAAAATGTTTGGAGGAAGTGGATACAATGGAAATAGGGGGCACTTCAGGCAAAATGGAGAGTTTGGGAATTCTAAAACTAACAAAAAAGAAGAGTTGGGGGTGGGAGAGAATGAGCTGGAAGTGTGGGACACCAAGCAGCAGGGAGGCCAGCAGGCTATGTCACTTCATGCCTTGGCCATTCCATAGCTGATTCTCACAGGGCTGGTTCTTGCATCTGCTGAGGGGAGGACTGTGTTCTCCCCTCAGCTTGACTCTCTAGCTGGCGGGACTAAGTGGTGTCTAAGTGGTGGGACTTGGGGACCAAAGCCAATGGTTAAGTACAGCAAAATCTCAAGCCCT